TGTGATTCAGCAATTTTATTCTTAGTAATAAAATCAACAGAAAGGATAGTACATGTGCACAAAAATGCATGAGTAGAACCGTCCATAGTAGCATTATTTGTAGGAACTCAAGCTGGAAACAATCTAAATATCCATAGCAACAGAGTGGTTATGCCTTAGTCTATTCTGTGCTGTTATAACAAAACACCCGAGACTGGGTAATTTATAGAGACCAAAAATTTATTCTCTCACAATTCTGGAGGTTGGGAAGTTTAACATCAAGGTGCCTTCAGGCGAGGCCCTGCTTTCTCTGATTACAAGATGACACCTTAAATTCTGTGTTATAGGGCAGAAGAGCAGAAGAGAGCAGGAGCCCATTCTCACAAGCCCTAAGCCCATCGTGGCATTAATCTATTCATGACTGCCCTTATGACCTAAACACCTCCATTGGACTTCACCTCCCAATACTGTAGCATTGGGGATTAAGTTTCCAAAACATGAATTTTGCAGGGAACAAAACCATTTAAACCATAACAAAGTATGAGATAGTAAAAATATTGAGTCTATAAAACATTAAAAATGCAATTGTATATATATATATAACATATGTATGTATATGTACAGTTATATACATAACACGGGTAAATCTCATAAATATATTGGAAAAAAAGATGCCAGACACAAAACTGTGGTTGTCTTTGGGCAAGGTAGAGGGGTAGTAATTAGAAGTGGGCATCAGGAAGGCTTCTTGGATTCTGGTAATGCACTATTTTCTGAACTGTATGGTGGTTAAATATGTGAATGTGCTTTGTGATAATCAAGTTGTTTATTTTTTTAAAAAATTGAGTCAAGTTCATGTGACATAAAATTGACCATCAGCCATTGTAAAATAGACAATTTTGTGACATTTAAAATAGACATTTAATGTATTTACAATGTTGTACAACCACAACTTCTACCTAGTTCAGAGATGTTTTCATCACCCTAAATGGAAACCATATACCCATTGAGCAGCTGATCACTTTTCTATGAACACGTTTTATTTCAGTTAAAAATTTCTGGGGCTGGGGTTGTGGCTCAGTGGTAGAGAGTTTGCCTAGCATGTGTGAGGCACTGGGTTCAATTCTCAGCACCACATATAAATAAATAAATAAAAACAAATAAAGTCCATTGACAACTCAAAAATATTTTTTAAAAAATTTCTGGTTTCCTTAAAAGTGCAACCAGGCAGGTCCATGTGTGGTTTTCCCTCTAGCAACATTGAGCTGCTTAGATTCCCATAAGGTAGAGAGAGTAAGAAGAAGGGAGCCAGGCCAAGGGACTGAGGGTATTCATAAGGGAGCTGCTGTAAAAGCAGCCCATGAAATCCAGGCTGGCCAAGGAGAATGAAAGTCATGATGCAGCTGATGAAGATTAAGGCATGGTAGGATGAATGGACCCGAGCTTTTGGTAAGACTGAAGAAGTGTGATGGTATATGCACTGTAGTGGGTGACCTTGGAGGAAGGAGGTGGTAGTCAGAGGGTAGGATGCTTTAATAATGATTTCAGAGGTGGGTCATTTCTGGTGATCTCTAAGGAGTGATCGCAGGGGTGGGTTCCTGAGGCAGTATGGAGAAAAGGTCATTGGAGACCTGTGAGTTAAAGACCTCAGTGGACAGGGTGTTGTTGAATGGTTCAGTAACATTGTGTTAGGTGCTTCCAACCAATCAACTTAAGGTCACTGAGAATGGCTAAGAATGATGTGGCTGGAACTGGGAGGAGAGGAAGGCATGAAGCCAGGGGCTCCATGTCTCCTGGGTGGAGGAGTAGGGCCAACAGTAGCTCATAGCTTTGAGGAGGAGGGACTAAGGGAGTTAGATGACCTGATGTTTAGAAGATCTGGGGACCTGGGAGGAGGGGAGAAATTGAAAAGTGCAGCTCCAAGTGGTGAGGACATTGCCTGAGTGCCTTGTCTCTTCAGGAACAGCCAGGTTTCACTTAAAGCAGGAGAAAAGATGGAGGACCTGGTTCTGTTTAAGAGCATAGAGAAGAGTTCCTGAGAACACAGCTAGATGTAGATACAATACTCATATCCAACTGGAGGAAAGACAGGGCATCAAAAAGGCAGGTAGATTGGAAGTAATGGGGAGTGCCCAGCTGGTAGTGAATCTGTAGAAAACAGGATTTGGAGACAGGATTTAATTCAGTCTGAAGATACAGTTGGGCTGAGAGTAGCAATCAGACCTGATGCTCTATGTTCTGGCAATTTCTCTCCAGAAACCACTAATGACAAAGTGGTGCTTTGTATGCTTAGGGACTAGATCACCTTCCTAATATATGGTGTTAATAGCTTATAAATGTCTAAGTGTGCCCTTTTTTCTTTCTGATAGGCCCTAACCTAATCAAATGTTGGCTATCTCCATAAGGAGGTACATGCTACTGTGGTTTATGCCATGAAGATTAATTTAAAGACCATTAACTGAGGCCCTTTACTTTTATTGATTTTCTGAATTACTGAGCAAGTGAAATCACAATTATTATGGCTCTCAAGATTTTCTTTTTTCTGGGCTGGGGTTATGGCTCAGAGGTAGAGTACTCACCTATCACGTGTGAGGCACTGGGTTCGATCCTCAGCATCACATAAAAATAAAATAAAGATATTGTGTCCACCTATAACTAAAAAATAAATATTAAAAAAAAAGATTTTCTTCTTTCTTTAATATTGGAAAGTTCTTTGGAAAGCATAACAAAGGACCTGAATTCAGAATATATAGAGAACATTCAAAACTCAACAATAATAAAACAACCACCCTGTTGAAACAATGGGTTGTTCCACCAAAGAAGGTATACAAATTGGCTAAAACTCATGAAAAAATCTCAACATCATTAGTGATTAGGAAATGCAGACTAAAACACAATGAGATACTTCTACACACTTTCTAGAATTGCTAAAATTAAAGACTGACAAGGATGTGGAAGAATTGGAATTTCATACACCTCTGGTGGGAATATTAAATGGTTAAATGTTGGAAAACAGTTGGGCAGTTTGGTGAAAAGTTAAAACATACACCTACCATATGATCCAGCCCTTCCACTCCTGGGTACCTACAATGAGAAATGAAAGCGTATATCTACCTTATGCTTGCACACCAATATTCATAGAAGCGTCATTATTTGTAGTAGCCCTGAACAGGGAACAATCACATATCCATTTAAAAGTGAGTAAATGAATTGTGAGACATCCATGTAATGGAGAAGTACTTGGCAATTAAAAGGAATGTGTTATTGGGCTGGGGATGTGGCTCAAGCGGTAGCGCCCTCGCCTGGCATGCATGCGGCCCGGGTTCGATCCTCAGCACCACATACAAACAAGGATGTTGTGTCTGCAGAAAACTAAAAAATAAATATTAAAAAATTCTCTCTCTCTCTCTCTAAAAAAAAAAAACAAAGGAATGAATTATTGATATACATAATGGCATGGGTGATTGTTCTCAGAATAGTTAGGTTGGGATTTTTAAAAAAAATTTTTAGTTATAGATGGACACAATACCTTTATTTTATTTATTTTTATGTGATGTTGAGGATTGAACCCAGTGCCTCACACATGCTAGAGAAGTCCTCTACCACTGAGCTACAACCTCAGCCCCCAGTTATGTTGAATTTTGAAAGAAGGCAGACCCTTTCTATTAAAAAAAGACTATATACAGGATGATTTCATTTATATAAACTTCTAGATTAAAACTAATCTGAGATTACAAGGAATTTATCAATGGCTACTACAAAGGGTTGGGGGAAAGAGAGGGATGGGAAAAGGGTGAATTAGACCATTTTCAGCTACTACAACAAAATACCTAAGTCTGAGTAATTTATAAAGACAGAAGTTATTTTAGCTCATGGTTCTGGAGGTTCAAGGACATGGCACCAGCATCAGGTTGGCTCTGGTGAGGATGTCATGGTGGATGACATCACAGCAGGAGCACCTACAAGAGGGAGAGATCACAGCAAAACAGGAAACCAGAGAGTAGCTGGGGTCTCACTAGAACTACATTAATGCCCTCCTGAGGGGACAACCCTCCCCTACAATGAACTATGACTTCCCACGAGGCCTCTTCTCTTAAAGGTATCACTACCTCTTAAAATTGCCACACGAGGACTGTCACCATTTGAATTTGAGGTGTCCCTCCCAAAGTTCAGTAGACAATGTAGCAATGATCACAGTGAAATGATTATGAGAGCTATAACCTGATCAGTCGATTTAATCCACTTGATGGATTAATAATTTTTTTAGTTGTAGATGGACACAATACTTTTGTTTATTTATTTTTATGTGGTGCTGAGGATCAAACCCAGTGCCTCACGTGCTCTACCCCGTGGCTGTAACCCCAGCCCTGGATTAATAATTTGAAAGGATTACAATACTGGGTGATAACTGCAGGCTGGTAGGGTGTGACTAGAGAAAGTAGGTCACTGGGGACATGCCTTTGGAGTTTATATTTCGTCTCTGGCACCTTGCTTGCTCTGTCTCTGCTTCCTGTCTGTTATGAATGGAGCAGCTCTCCTCCGCCATGTCCTTCCACCATGATGTTCTGCCTCGTCTTGGGCCAGGAGCAATAGAGTCAGCCAGTCATGGGCTGAATTTCTGAAACGATGAGCCAAAATAAACTTTTCCTCTTCTAAGTCATTATTGTTAGCTATTTTATCACAGAGACAAAAAGCTGACACAAAAACCAAGCTTCCTATACACGAACCCTTGGGGGACAAACCACATCTAAACCATAGCAAAGGAATTACCAAGAGGCCAGAGGAAACTTTTGTGGGTAATGGGTATGATATTTATCTTGAGTAAAGTGATGGTTTCATGGTATATACATATGTCAAAACTTGTCAAATTGTACACTTTAAATATGTACAGATTTTTTGTATGTCAATTATACCTCAATAAAGCTGGAAAAATAAATCAATGCATTTTTATTATGTGTCAGGCATTGCACAAGTCTCATTGAATTCTATTTTTTTCTCTCTCATTTAATTTTTATACCTAGGCAAGGCATTATCATCACCCACTTTGAGATGAGGAAACTGAAGCTTCTTCTCTGAACATTCCCTCCACTGATTTGTTTTCAGAGTCTGCCGCCCTCTGAGGCTGCTAAAGCTGCTGAGTGGAGGTTGGATTCCCTCTCACACCAAAGTTCTTCAGGGTCAGCAAGCGGTGGCTTATTCAGGTCAGCGTTTGAATGCAGGTTTACCACACGCTATGCCTGGAATGAATCATGCTCCCACTTCCCCCTCAGGTATGCCTGCACTAGTCGTGGAGTGCTCTCGGTTTATTTTTCCCATCTTTCAAATGGGGAAAACAGAGCTGGGGTTGTGGCTCAGTGGTGGAGCACTTACATCGCATGCATGAGGCACTGGGTTCGATCCTCGGGACCACATTAAAAAAATAAATAAATAAAACAAAGATACTGTGGCCATCTACAACTAAAACACACAACCCCCACCCCCACCCCCACCAAAAAAATGGGGAAAACACTGCCAGCTCTGGGTTTGTTAAAGGGGAAATAAATGATTGCTAAGGATACTCAGTGTCCATCCAGTTAGGGGGCCATGCTGGACAGTTGGAATGTCAGAGCTCAAATTTCAGCTGTGAAAATACTAGCCACATGACCGTGGGAGATTATTCAACCTCACTACCCTTGATTTTCCTGGGAATCTCTTTCACTCTGGTTCCAACATTTTATTATAAAAAGTTTCAAATATATTTTAAAAAGTTGAAATAATTATACAGTAAGTGCACATATACCATTTGGATTCTACAGTTAACATTTTACTATTACCTACTTTGTCATGTATCTATTTATTCATCTGCATTTGTATCTCTCCCCTCCCAACCCAAATTCAAATGTTGAAGCCCTAATGCCCAGAATGACTGTATTAAGAGATGGGACTTCTAAGGAAGTAATTAAAGTTAAATGAGGTCATGAGGGCAGGAGGGCCTTTGCTCTGGAGACCTAAGAGAGCTCGTTTGTTTCTCCCACAAGAACACAAAGAAGAGACCAGACAGTGGCTGCCAGTTGCAAAGAGAAGGGACCTCCAAACAAAATCTACCTGCCTGACTCCTTGATGCTAAGCTTCCCAGTTTCTAGAACTTGTGGGAAAGAAATTTCTCTTGCTTAGGCCACCCAGTCTGTGGTATTTTGTCACGGCAGACCAAACAGGCTCCATTATCAAGCCAATCTACTGTTTGGATGCATTTCCAAGTAAGCAGCCGATATCAGAAAACTCCATCCCTGAACATGTCTGTGTGTCATGGCCACGGTTCAATATTTATTGATGGCTATTTTTTTTTCAGTCCTATTAAAAACAAACATATAGCTCTGCCACGACACACAACTAAATTGGTCAGGGTCACTCCAGGTGAACTGGGCTGACACAAAATAATCACACAGAGACAGAGAAAATACCTTTTTCTTGGGGTTCAGCGACGGCTCCTCTGCCCCAGCTCCCAAAAGGGAGGCAAGAGAGGCTGGCAAAAAGAGAGTGAGCGGGCACACCTGAAGCCCTGTTTACTGAGGGGAAGACACTCGAGAAAGTTCCACCCAATTGAGGTAAGGGAGGGGCTGGGGTTGTGGCTCAATGGTACAGTGCTTGCCTAACATGTGTGAGGCACTGGGTTTGATCCTCAGCACCACAAACAAATAAAATAAAGGTGTTGTGTCCACCTACAACTAAAAAATAGCCCAGTCTCATTGTGTGACACCCACTCTCAGAGCTTCAATCCCCTGCGGAGCAGAGGTAGGGTCCAGAGTCTGTAAACAAGTCAAAATAACACCTGGCATTTTGCCAGGGGAATGTTAGAGTTCGTAAACAAGTCTGGATGGTGCCTGGCAAAATGCCAGAGGGAGTGGTTTGAGAAGTAACAAAAGCCAGCCATTAAGTGTGGAGATTCCTGATTGGTTGACTGCTGTATCTAGTTAATGTTAATTAGATAAGCTGTGTGGAATGTATAAATACTGCTCCTGTCCTGCAATAAATGGCTTCCACTCCTGCTGTGTCAATCTACACAAGTTGTTCTTCCCCCCCCCCCCCAAGTGTCGGTGCTCACTCCTGTGTGGCAGCACATGGCTCAGTGTGCTAGCGCAAGCCTGTAATCCCAGAGGCTCAGGAGGCTGAGGCAGGAGGATCATGAGTTTCAAGGCAACCTCAGCAATGGGTGAGGCACTAAGCAACTCAGTGAGACTCTGTCTCTAAATAAAATACAAAATAGGGCTGGGGATGTGGCTCAGTGGTCAAGTGCCCCAGCGTTCAATCGCTGGTACCAATAAATAAATAAACAAACACATGTACCAAATAACTTTAAATTATAAAAATTCTATTAAAAAGCCATTTACATTTAAAATTTTGTAACACAATTGTTTTAAATTATAAAATTGCATATATATGTATATTCTTTTAAAGAGAGAGAGAGAGAGAGAGAGAGAGAGAGAGAGAGAGGGAATTGTTTTTAATATTTATTTTTTAGTTTTCGGTAGACACAACATCTTTATTTTTTGTGGTGCTGAGGATTGAACCCAGCGCCCCGCGCATGCCAGGCGAGCGCGCTACCGCTTGAGCCACATCCCCAGCCCTATATGTATATTTTAATAATTGTATAATACATTTATTTTCATAAACTTGATATACATTTTTAAATATTTACATTATGCATAGTTATAAGTATGTATATATGCTTGTGTGTATAGAAAGCATATACACTAAACTATTAATTTATCTCTGAAAAGGAGTGAGGAACAGGGAAACAGATAATACCTTTACCTTTTATTACTTCAACATGTTTAAAACAAAAAATTTTCAATGATAGTAGTCATTCTATGTACTATTTTTTCAGGGGTGGGGAGACCAGGAATTGAACCCAGGGTCACTTAACCACTGAGCCACATCACCAGCCCCTGAGTTGCTCAAGGCTTCACAAAGTTGCTGAGGCTGGCTTGGAACTCTTGATGCTCCTCAAACCCCTGTGATTACAGGCGTGTGCCACCGCACCCCGCTAGAAAATTCTTAATACCGAGAACTCTCCTTCACCCTGCAATCTCTTCAACTCATATTTTCATGCATTTAGTTGCTCAATTTGACAGACAATTTTGAAGCTTCTGGGCCCCTCATTTGCACAGGTCCTTTCAGATCCCTGTGAAAGACTCTAGTGATGTACTCATAGGGTCATATGTTTTTGTAAAATTTCCCCAAATAAGACATTTAACGGTAACCAGCTACTGACTGTGTCTTTTCCACTCCAGCTTCCCCCCTTTTCTCTCTGCCTTTGTGCGCGGTGGTGTTGGAGTAGCCACAGGCACTTTTGGGGTCCAGTTAAGAGGAAGTTGAGTTGAGGATCTATTTAGTGAGAGTTTGGTGGGATATATCCACACGGTTCAGAGTCATTTTGTGTGTAGTTAAGTTAGTGCCAGCTGCCGGGATATAGCCACAGGCATTCTCCAACTGTCCCTTGTGCTGACTGATCTGATGCTGTGGCATGGAGAGGCAGGGCCAGAGGTCATATGGCCTCATGAATGTGTCCACAGTGCCCAGCACCAGAAGCTATTCTGGAGCATTCTTTTCTCATCAGTGGTGAAAACCGTCATGAAGAATTTAGATCTGTTGACTGGACAGTTCTGTCCTGTCAGGACTGTGCTTGAGGCTGCCCTGGAGTCTTACAGTTCACATGTGAATGAACCTGAGACAAGTTCTCCCAAGTGAGATGATACTCCTAAACCTCCACAAGGCACTGCCCAGGGAGGCAAAGCCAAAGGAAACTTTTCTGATGATTAATAATAAAAAACAAATGTCAATCAGTTATGCCAGACAAAAGACTGAAGTATCTTCCTCTTTACAAAAACGACAGTGCAGGGACAGTTATTATGGGGCTGGGGTGTAGCTCAGTGGGAGAGTGCTTACCTAGTATGGAGGTCCTGGGTTCCATCCTTAGCACTTCCCCACCCCGCAAAAGATTATCATATAAACAGATGATTAAAGAGTATGGGGCTAAAAAAGTGAAGAAAAGGATATTCTAGAGGTAATTAGTCATTTACTAATAAAAATGTCATGCTATTTTTCTGGATTTTGTTTGTAATATATTTGCAAACTTCTTAAAATTTTGCTGCTTGTTCTCTCCCTCTCCCTCCCTCCTTTCCCTGCCCTCTCTCTCTGTCTCTCTGGTGGTGGGGATTGCACCCAGGGAGGTCTTTGTCATGCTAGGCAAATGCTCTACCACTAAGCTACACCCCTAGCCCTCTTTTCATTCTTAGTATTCACTTTTGCATCTAATGTTATAGGTGTTGGTGGTTTTGTATTATTTTTATTAATATGGGGGCTCCAGATTGAACAAGATAAAATGTAGGCTATGGAAACCTGAATCTGCAACAGATTTCACCCTAGGAATAAGAGAGCATCACCACACAGCAAAGCAAGAATGACAGGATGAGGCCACAACTGTAAGAGTTGATGGTCCTACTGTCGTTAACATTATTAATAGGTATTTATTTATTCATTGTCCCGAGATGCATCCTTCTTAAGATATGTGGAATTATTAGTACCTCCTAACTCTGACTTTCCTTTATTGTTATAATTATTACTGTTAATAATAATTACTGTAATAATAATAAAAATAAATTATTGTTATTACTACTATTCTATTATTTGGCATACTATGTGCCAAATCCTTGGCTAAAGCATATTATACATAAAATCTCATTAACTCTTCTACAACAATACAGGTAAGAGTTAACTTTGTTTTAAAAACATTAATTCCTTCAAAAATATTATTGAGTACCCATATGTGCAAGGCATGGTGCTAGGCACAGGGAGTAGAGCACTGTAGATGGTAGAATTCTACTTTTTTTTTTTTTTTTTTGTACCAGGGATTGAACTCAGGGGCATTGGACCACCGAGCCACATTCCCAGGCCTATTTTGTATTTTTTAAAAAATATTTTGTTTTAGTTGTAGCTGGACAAATTGGACATGGTGTCATCTGTTCTCTTGGAGCTGACATACTAGAAAGACAGACAGAGATGAAGTGTAAGGTGAGAGCTGCAATGAAGTGTGTATGTAACACGGAGCTCCCACCTGGTCTGAGGAATTTGGGAAGGTGCCCTGTGAGAGTGAGAAGCAGAGACCTTGTCTGAGTGGACATCAATCAAGTGAGGAAAGACATGAACAAAAGTCCGTGTCCTTTAACAGCCTCAGATGGGGAAACTGAGGCTCCTCTGTATTGACTGAACTACTGTGTGTGCCTGGCGCTGATCTTAGACTAGGGAAACAGCAGTGAATAAGACAGTTAAAGTTGCTGGTGGTGCATGTCTGTTATTGCAAGTTTGAGACCAGACTCAGCAAGATTCTGTCTGGGGTGGGGGGGGGAAGATCTCGGGATGTAATTTAGTGGTAGAGTGCCCTGAGTTCAATCCCCTAGTATCCTATTACTAAAAAAAAAA